TATCCCGGTGAATGAAGTGGTTCTGTTCGAGGTACTGACAACCTTGGGCAACGTCAATAGCGATATGGAGCAGATCCATCATTTCCAACGAAACAGAACTCTAGACTTGTGAAACGTCACGTTCAGCACATCGTCATGCAAAATGATATAATGGAACAGATGAGGTTTCATTCATAGTTCGGAACTGCATAGTGGGTTTTAGGCATTATTGAGGTCTTCACCGTCCAAACTAATGGCGCCATTAACCCGGACAGTGTACTTTTTATTTCAGCTCTGAAATATTGATTCTTGGTTCAGTTGGTGAACAGGTGAGGAGAAAAATTTACCGTGCACCTTATGAACTAATACGGAACATGTCGCACAACCATTCATCCTTCTTGTTTCCTGGAAGTTTCATTCTCTTACTGAAACTGGCTTTCATTATAAGGAGGATCAACCTCTGATCATAACTGCCTCCCTTGCCGACTTCTTAAGGTTAAGAGCAAGCTTTTGCACTACCCTACAACTGCCCTCTCGCCAAATTCCTTGCATATGTGACTAATGCACTCCACAACTTTGATGTCAATCTTGCATTAGTGATAATATAATCTGCAATATGGGATGAATAAATGTGTTAAGTTTTGAGACATAAACATATGGTTCAAAATCACAAACGAAACTGTCGAGCATGGTCTTCAGCTTATTCACTTGCTCAGTCCTGGCATCCCCGTGCAGTTTTGGCCATATGATCTACATGATCGCAACGATACCATGCCATCATAATTCCACTGTTTGTTCATTCAGGCAGAGGCAGATTATGGCTAATTTGCTAGTGTACTTGCTGCATGGATTCCTTTTGCATAATTTTGCTACTTTACTTGGCATCAACAACTTTTCAAAACGCCTGTTCAGTACACCAATATGCTACATATATTTTGAGTTATGCGTTTGTTGACGACTCCTGCATACAGTCCATATTTTTTTGGCAGTTACAAAAAGAACCTGGAAAACGAAAAATGAAGTACCGGCTACGTTCGATCATTTCAAATGATAGTGCCAACTCTGGCTTTTGCCTATTAATTAGACTCTATTATGCCATCTACAAGTCTTCGCGTCTTAATGAGGAAGCATGAGGGTATCTGTGCTCCTATGTCCAACCTGTACTGAAGGATATAACGTACCTCGCGTCTGCTTGTTTTGCTTCCTCTCTATTGGCAGATACATTCAAGCCATGAGCAAACGTTCATGGTTACCAGTTACGTTTGACATATTTCAATAATCAGCAATCATATAAGTTATGAGTCATTACTAATAAAGAAACACCCGTGCAAATGAATTCCCTTTGGCACTTAAGGAAACGAGATCAAATTTTCAACCCTCCTGTCTCATCTAATCCGATTTGCCAAGCGCCACTGCTTTGTGGTGACGCGGCAAAACGAAATCGTAGGTGACAGGGATCCAGTCCAACAATTCTGCGTAGGCAGTTCTGCACGGGCGACCTCCCCGTCTAGACTGCCTCTGAATAATAACACGAATCACTACTTTATTATGATATTGCGGTGCGTTATAAGTTATAACCGTACTTCTTTGGGTCTGTTTTCTCGGAGAAAGGACTTGAGGTCACCACCAGCCAGCAGTTCCAAAACGATGAATCGCGGCATTTTGTCGAAACAGACGCCGTAGAACTGCACAATATTTGGGTGGTTGAATTTGCTACAATTTTGACAATCACTCTTTGGACTTCGCTGCATTTTCCGAGCCGGTTTACCTCATTATCAAGGCTTCCATGTGAAAATCCATCTGCGCTTGCTCCGTTGCGAACTCGGGTAAGGTCTGAAATTGAGGAAACATTGAGTACGACGTTGGCGACGTTCACTACTCTTACCTTAACCGCAATCGGTATGCTGCTTCCTCCGTGTGATGAGCTGTACAGAATTCCTTCGTACACCTCTCCAAAAGCACCTTGACCAAGTGGTCTGAAAGAGAAGGAATATTTATAATTTAGAAAATGCATACCTCGGCGAAAGTATGCCCTTTGGCCATCAAAAACATTATTTAATTATTTAATTCAAGAAACCGCACATTTTTTACCGGGTAAGTTTCACACTGGAACGCGAGATTTCCTTCAGATCGTTAATAGCATACGGTAGTTCATCAACGCGGAACAGTTCGTAGTTCGGGTTGAACTCAGAGTGAAAATTTTGTCCCAGAAATTGGTCCATTGGTAAATTTCCGGCATGACACACGTATCCGTACTTTTTCGAACTTCGACGGTCAGAGCATTTGAAACGAAGTACTAAATGTTACTCCTTAGAAAGTGATGGCCATCGTACACTGAAAATCATAAATGACGACAGCACATAGAGAAGGACATGAACCACTTTCTACTACTTCACTGACATTATTATCTCACTAAAAATAAACATTTATAATGTTTATTTTTTGAGATTCGCATCCAATTACATGCACAGATAATATTGCGAAAATTTCGATTTTGCGAAATCCAGATCGCTCAGGTTCGAAGCGTGCACACTGTATACAGTATACAGTATAACGAATTGAAAAAAATTACTCAATCAAACTAAAAGGCCACGTTACATGCCACCCGGCGCTGAAATGTAAGGTGAGAGGTAGCGGATATTGAGTGTCTCACAACGATGCATG